TATATATATATATAACATAAACAGCAACTATACATGTGGACCTCACTGCAGAGAATATATAGGAATCAAATTGACTATGTTATGGAAAGAGATGATGGAGAAGCTCAGTATCATCAGCCAGAACAAGGCCAGGTGCCAACTGCAGAACAGACCATCATCAATTCCTCATGTGCAAGTTCAAGTTGAAGTAGAAGAAAATTAAAACATGTCCATAAGAGCCAATGTATGACCTTGAATATATCTGACCTGAATTTACAGACCATCTCAAGAATAGATTTGATACACTGAACACTAATGACCGAAGACCAGATGAGTTGTGTGATGACATCAAGGGCATCATACATGAAGAAAGCAAAAGGTCACTAAAAGACAGAAAAGAAATAAAAGTCCAAAAGGATGTCAGAAAAGACTGAAACTTGTTCTTGAACGTAGAGTAGCTAAAGCAAATGGAAGAGATGATGAAGTAAAAGAACTGAACAGAAAATTTCAAAGGGTGGCTTGAGAAGATAAAGTAAAGGGTTAGAATGAAATGTGCAAAGACTGGGAGTTGCAAAACCAAAAAGGAAGAACATTCAGCATTTCTCAAGCTGAAATAACTGAAAAAAATTTCAAACCTTGAGTTGCACTATTAAAGGATTCCGTGGTCAAAAAATTGAATGATGCAGGAAACATCAAAAGAAGGTGGAAGGAATATAGAGTTTCTGTACCTCATTTCAGGAGGTAGCATATGATCAAGAATCAGTGGTACTGAAGGAAGAAGTTGAAGCTTCACTGAAGGACTTGGTGAAAAATCAGGGTCTAGGAATTGGTAGAATACCAGCTGAGATGTTTCAACAAATGGATGAAACACTAGGAGCACTCACTTTTCTATGCCGAGTAATTTGGAAGACAGCTGCCTGGCCAACAGACTGGGAGATATGCATGCCTATTCCAAAGAAAGGTGATTGAACAGAATGTGGAAATTATCAAACACTATCATTCATATCACATGCAAGGAAAATTTTGCTGAAGATAATTCAGAAATGGTTGTAGCAGTATATAGACAGGGAACTGCCAGAAATTCAAGCCAGATTCAGAAGAGGACATGGAATGAGGGATCTCATTGTTGATATCAAATGGATCTTGGCTGAAAGAAGAGAATACCAGAAAGAAGTTTACCTATGTTTTATTGACTATGTTGATCATAATAAATTATGGATAACATTGTGAAGAATGGGACTTTCAGAACACTTTATTGTGCTCATGTAGAACCTATACATAGACCAAGAGGCAGTTGTTTAAACAGAACAAGGAGATACTGCATCATTTAAAATCATGAAGTGTGTCAGCATTATATCCTTTCACCATACTTATTCAATTTGTATGCTGAGGAAATAATCCAAGAAGGTGGACTATATGAAGAAAAACATAGCATTAGGTTTGGAAGAAGGCTCATTAACAATCTGTGATATACAGGTGACACATCTTGCTTGCTGAAAGTGAAGTGGACTTGAAGTATTTATTGATGAAGATCAAAGATCATTCAGTATGGATTATGCCTCAACATAAAGGAAACAAAACCCTTTACAACTGAACCAATAAGCAACATCATGGTAAATGGAGAAAATTTTGAAGTAGTCAGGGATTTCATTTTACTTGGATCCACAAGCAACATCCATAGAAGCAGCAGTCAAGAAATCAAATAACATATTGTGCTGGGCAAACCTGTTGCAAAAGTTCTCTTTAAAGTGTTTGGAGAAAAAAAAAAAAAAAAGATGTAACCTTGAGGATTAAGGTGTGTCTAACTCAAGTCATAGTATTTTCACCCTCCTCATATATCTGTGAAAGCTGAACAATGAATAAGGAAGACCAAAGAAGAATGGATGCATTTGAATTATGGTGTTGGTGCAGAATTTTTAATATATCATGGACTGCTAGAAGAAATCTGTCTAGGATGAGAGACAGCCAGAATGTTCCTTAGAAGTGAGGATGGCTAGACCTTGTCTCATGTACTTTGGACACGTTATCAGGAAGGACTGGCCCCTGGAGAAAGACATCACGCTTGGTAAAGTAGAGGGTCAGTGAAAAAGAGGAAGACCCTCAATAACATGGATTGACACAGTGTCTGCAACAATGAGCTCAAACAGAGCCAGATTGGGTAATGTTTTGTTCTGTTGTACATAGGGTTGCTATGAGTTGGAAGTGACTCAAGGTACCTAACAACAATTTTACATTTAAAGCATATTTCAATTCAGATGTGAAATTTTCATCAAAAACTTATCGTATGTTATTTAGATGTCATACAATTTAAAGCTGAAAAAGCAGATTCACACACCTGGTTATTCCAAATATACTTAAAACTTTTTCCGATAACTGAATCAAATATCAGTTTTACATTAAAATTTAAATTAATTTTTAAAAATTGAGTTCTGTAGTTGAATGGCTACATTTCAAGAATTCAATAGCTACATGTGGCTAGTGGCTGCCGTATCAGATAGCTCAGTTCTCTAGAGTGGATTTTTAAAAGAAATATCCTTGTTGTTGTTTGCCGTCGAGTCGGCCCCAACTCATAGCGACCCCTCCTTGGGTTTCCGAGGCAGTATCACTACGGAAGTAGGATTGCCCAACCTTCCTTCCGAGGAGTGGCTGGTGGGTTTGAACCGCCAGGCTTCTGGTGAGCAGTCAACTGACTTAGGCACTATGCTACCAGAGCTCCCAGAGACAGGTTTCTATTCCCATAATACAAGTAGTAGGTGAGACAGTACAGATGATGACATTCACCTACCCACCCCCTGATTTTCAGTCCCAGCCTCTGTGACCAATGGAGAACAGAAACAATGGATGCATTTGCTTCCCACAACTTCTCTGGAAAAAAAGGATTTCATAGGCATTTGGTGCTTGCTCTCTGAGGATAGGACTGCAGTCTTTCCAGCCAACCAACAACCATTCCTGTAACCCTCCACCCTCTGACAGATCAGTAGGATAGGCCAGGAGCTTTCCAGACACAAGCCCCTCTTAAGTCATCTCAGGTAAAACCAAAGAATAATACTCTAAGTGTCAGGCAAAGGAGAACCAGGACACATGTGAAAGGAGAGAGAAGACCTCTATTTCTTCTCCCACAGAAGCAGAGCTGTTAGACTGGCCAAGTACTTGTGGTCAAAGTGAAAGAAGGAATGTTCGAGAACCTGAGACTAGAGTATCCACCCTAGAAGAGAAGATGCCAACTCTGTGGGCAGTTTTTCTTTCTTCCTCCCTCTTTTGAGGAAATGAGCTTAACTGACTTTGTGCCAGGGACCAGAGGAGCCACCATCTTCTTCCCTCATGTTTGGACACCCTATGAATCCCAAGTGTGCCACACTTACCCTGGGTCCTTCAGGGCCTGGCCAGCCAATGGGCCCAGGCATGCCCGGAACACCTGGGGGGCCAGGTCTACCCTTCAAAGAGCAAGAACAAGAGTCAGGACAACTGAGTTTATTTCCCTTTCTTCCAGGGAATAAGATTTGTCTCTGGGACCCCAAGGGGAGTGTGGGGACACTAATCTCACCTCCAAATTCCCAATCCCCACCCTTCAGAGACTGATAGCTTAGAAAGGACCCATTGGGTCAGTTGGATATAAGTTAGAGCCTTTGGTGTCACATTGTGTCAGCTAACAGGATCTTATTCTACTCAAGAAATGGAAGTGGTTGGGAAGGGATTATAAACTTCTTGGGTTTTCAGTCTTTATCACTTCTGTCAAATGCTCCCTATGTTCCAATGGGTTCTCTCCAAGGATGTGCTGTAGAATGAGATAGGATTATGTTTTGTAGGCAGTAGCAAATGTTATTTATACTCCTTCAAGATCTTTGTTACCTGCTCCATGCACTCATCTCCCAGTGGCTGCCTTCTTTGCTACTGAGAACTCATTCCTACAACTGTGAAGCTTGCTCTCAGTCAGTTGGAGCTGCCTGACAATTGTTGTACCTCTCCTGCCTGCAGTTAGCAGTGCAGCACCCTTGCTTCAAGGTGGACCAAACTCTGTGGTGAATCTACACTCCAGAGCTCCCCTAGGGGTCAGGCTGAGGCTGGCCTTTGTTTGATACCACATCCTTACCTGGCTTCTTCCCCTGCCCCATCTAGCTTCTCCTGCTTCCCTATGAGCTCCTCCTGAGTGTATTCCCTTAATATTCATTTACACATCTCTGTCTCTGCTTCTGGGAGACTCAACCTGAGCCAGAGGTTATGGAAGGGGAAGCCCTGAAAGAAGCAAGCACTTGGGGTCTATGTTGAGGTCTGCACTCATTGGCTAACTTTACATTTAGCTTAGCTAGAGATGTAGAACACTCAGGTCCCTAAACAAGAGATGACAAATGCTGGCATGTGTCCTGGTTTCTGTCTTGCTCCCCACATCCATGAGAGATATCACTAATCAATCATGGCCGCTGTTGGCTCTGAGCAGGAAGGCCAGCCCAGAATTTTTTTCAGCACAGCATTTGAGATGGCTACAGTCATCTGTGCCTTAAATAATTGTACTTTTGCCTTTCAAAGGTCTATTTGGGGCTCTTGTTGATAGTGAACCCACTTGAACAAAACATTTAACCAGAAAAAAAAAGTGTAATTTATATTTAGAGCCATGAGCATCTTCTTGGCTGAGAATTTGCACTTCTCTCTATCACCAAGACCTAGATTTTCATTGTCAGAATCCACTGACCACAGAGAACAAAAGACTCCTGGTTTACTCCCTCCTGGCACTAATGAGTCTTGATCACATGTGTTTGGTTCACTCACAATCACTGTGACCTTAAGTAACTCTCATTAATTTTAGCAGGGCCAAAAAGCAAAAGCCATTTGTTTCTGTCTGATCTGGTGCTTTACTCTAGTTTAATCAAATAGATAATGGGAAGCACTTTATGTTACTGGTTGTGACCTGGGGTTTATCTAATGGGTGGCAGGAAGAGATTGTCTGAGGCTGGGGGACATTTGGCAGGGCTGGGTAGCCTTTGGAAGAAGTCTAAATGGCAGGCAAAAGTAGGCTCCAGTTCTTGCCTCAAGGAGTCAGCAGAAAGGGTAAGGTCACTACTGTTATTATCAGGATGGCAGCATCACCATTGTCTACCTGGATGCTAGGGGCCATTAAGCTCACTGCTGCTTCCCCTACCTTTAGGTGTGCACAGCCACCCACACACCCATGGAGCACATTGCCCACGTGCTGCTAACTGAATGGCATGTACCATACCTTCCTTCCTGGTCGGCCAAACTCTCCCTGTGGATGGAGAAGACAGGTTAGCAGAAATTTCTTTGGAAGAGAAGTTCTGGAAGCAGAGGGCTTAGTGGGGCTAATGAGGCTAACAATTGGCTTCTGACCATGAACCTGAGTCTGCCTGACTGCTCATAGCAGCCCCGCCATGATACCCGGTGGTATCAGTGGGTGAAGTCAAAGCATGCAGATGGAATCCCACCTACAGCAGCATCCCAGTCATCACCGAGCCCACCTTAAGCACTGAAGCAGGATCAGCACGTGCTTTGAAATCCCAGCTGGAAAACCTTCAGACCAGAAAATTCTCAGCGGCACCCCAGATGGAATGACCAACGAGAAGGGGGTTGAAGAAGTAGTGGATCATACCTTCTCTCCCTTTGGTCCTATCTTGCCAGGAAGTCCCGGTGGACCCTAAACAATCGAGATAAGAAGTGAAAAAAGTATCCATCAAACCAATGCAGGTGGTAAGGGAAGCAGGAATGGGAAGGGAGGCTTTTGGTGCAATGGGCTCTAGGAACCCCACAAGCACCCTCTTGTGCCCTCTTGCCCAGTCTCCTCCCCTCTGCCCCTTTTACAGTTTTCTCTGAGCTGTCATTCCAATGGTTCCAGGAGTTGTTCAAAGTGCTCCTACATCTACTCTTAGTGATTTTAATCACTGGAGCCCTCTGTTTGCCTGAAACACCCCAAGTACTTGGTGAAAGCAACCAAAGAGGCTTGAAGAAATTCTATTTGCTGAAAACTAGATGCTTCACCAAGTCTCATATATTTTCAGCTGTTCTTAAGGAGCTTCCCAGGGGCCTTGACAAAAGGAAAGTTAAGTTTCATATACAGCAGCAGCATACTTAGAAATGCCCATGATTGATCTATGGGTAAAAAATAGATGACCTCAAGACAGTTCTGACTCATGGCAACCCCATCTGTGTCAGAGTAGAGCTGTGCTCCGTCGGACTGTCAATGGTTGATTTTATGGAAGTAGTTTGCCAGGCCTTTCTTCTGAGGCACCTTCAGGTAGACTCAAACCTCCAAACTTTTGAGTAGAAACAGTGTGTTAACCATTCGCACCACCCAGGGACTCTGATCTTTGGGTGGTTGTTAGTTGCTTTCAAGTAGGCTCTGACTCATGGTGACCTTATGTATAACCAGGTAACAAATAACTCTCTTCTTCCCTCATTCAGCAGCAAAGATGTTAAAATGAAAAAAAAAAAAAAAAAAAAAGGCAAATAGTACATATAGTACATTTTCATTCCTCACCCAGCCACGGGAGCTGGGCTGACCTCAATTTAGGGACTTCAGAACCCATTGCACCAAAACTTTTCACAACCAGAGCCAGAAAGCAGCTGTTTTCTGCTCATGTATCTGTGAAATGCTCAGTTGACTATCATCCAAATTCCCCAGAATAGCAGGGAGGAAATCCATCAAAATCCTCCAGGCCCTCCTTCATCCCTAAAACCTGTAGGAGGACACGCATGGAGAAAGCCTGTTTATGATTTCTACCATAAACCTGATGACCAGCAGCCCCTTAGCCTGTTGTTTACAAACCATCAGAATACCAGAATACCAGAATTTCCAGCCCATCAGAATACCCCAGATCTTTAAAAAATCTGAAGGCCAGGCCATGCCCTGTTGTTGTTGTTATGTGCCGTCGAGTCAAACCCGACTCATAGCGACCCCTCCTTGGGTTTCCGAGGCAGTATCACTACGGAAGTAGGATTGCCCAA